AGTATCGTTAAGAATAGATTGTTCTTGAAAAAATATCAGATCTACAGAATTTTAGTGGGTGCATTGATTTTATTACTTACATGCTAGATGGTAAATTGCTGATGATATAATACTTAGGTGCTTGCGGAGAAATTTTCAATAAACTATATTTGGCCGATCATCTAATTCGTTTGAATTTTTCGGACAAGTTAATCAGTATGTATGTGGCTCATCTTACCGTGAAGACGTCTTACTTCCAATGTTTCCTAATATTGCGCAGGGCAAAAAAGCACGCCCACAACATTCGAAACCATTAGTCGTTTCATGCTTACGGCGTTCATCTGCATATAAGGTGATTATTTCCTCAAGAGAAAATGTTTACATATTGAAGAGTATGATGCTGGGTGGTATGGAACTTTTAAGTTTTTTATAATGACAGTACGCTGGATGGTCCGTTGGGATTATTTTGCTAATTGCTTTTTTCATTAGGCAGTCGGATTTCGGGTAAAGACGCACCGCGCACGGGCCCTTAGCGAAATTATCTCCAATTCGTATCACTTAATTTGTGTTTTCGCGGTAATTTTTTACCATTACGTCGGAAGAACATTAAATATAAATTAACAAGCCCAAAAGCATCTACTAAATGTTCGGCTGGATGCATGTTGCAGGCGGCAGGTTTTCAAGAAGGTGTACATATATGTCGTAGGCAGAATATATTATCGTAAAGTGACACGGTGAATCTAATCCACCATATTACAGATGACACCTACTTGCATAATAATTCAGTGTGAAAAATTCATTTTTACGGATGAATATGCAATATGAAATACCAATATGTAGTTGTTGCTTTCTTTTGGGTAGAACCGATTTGTAAATGTTCGAGGACCTGTATTTTGTTCTAGTAGCGAAATAATCTCATGCGATAAGCTGAAAGGGCGTACTGAATTTTAAAAGAAATTACAGGCTGGTCAAAAATCTATGAGGCTATAAAGAAATGGACAAAATCTTAGCTAATAGCAAGATCATCAGTGCTCCTGATTCACGCTTAAAGTATTTCCTTTTTCAATGAAACGCCCTGTATAATAAAAGTTGCAAATGCATCATGCTTTATTTGGTTTCATAGTTACCAAACTCCATATTTCCAGCTTTTCCGTTTACAATACACTCCTGTACAGCGTAGGAAGTTAAACGGCTGGCACCACAAAACTTTCGCAATAGCACCTCATATCTGAAACGTCTCATCGCTTTGTCATCTCACCATTTCTGATTGTATCATTTTTTCGTCGAACCAGCCCAACGTTGGTTGTCCCATCGACAATCTTATTGTTAAAATATCAATAATGCGGATGGTTTATTGTGTAGGAAACAATATTTCTGTGCGACACAGTGTGCAATTACTCAGGAATGTTAGGTAGGGCCTCAACTGAGCGTAAGTCATCGGGTCTCCGACCAACTTGCTATGCCGCTATCGGGGTGTAAATTTATTCTGAAGCTATGCTAAAAATTGGCAGTAACATTTCAGGAATGCGACTGGAGAAACTATTGGTGACAACAGAGGTACTGCTCGGGTGTGGGGTTCAGTTGACCTGAAACTAATTTTATGTAATGCATCTGTCTGTATTTATTTTTGGACTTGTCTTACCTCTCCGCTATCAAGCTCTAGGTTATGGAAATTACGATACGTGTTCGGTGCCAAATAATGCCCTTGGTGAATTCAGATAAGTTGGAATAAATAACGCCTTCGGCCATTTATCAAAACCGAATATGCTCTTGGGCTCAATTTTGGGCTACATACTGAGTTTTTCACTAGACCCATAAACGCTTGTTTGCTTTCCATTGCTTGTCTCCAATAAGTAGACCTATATCGTACTATAATTACTAAAAAAAACAGACATGGAGAGCAGAGCAGTCCTATCCAGTGTGCTCATTGTTTCGATGCGGTACTGTCTGCTCAAGCTGTGAGACATGAAACGTCCGTCACTTACAATAGATGAAAGCTGTAGCCGTGGCAAAATATACATATGAATCGAAAACCTTGTTAATCTCGGGAACAACGGCCAGATGACTGCATTAGATTACCGCGGAATCTTGTGATCGTAAGCTAGGAGATCGCAGAGGAAGCCTAAGTCGCGATGGTGCTCAAGATATTTTAAGAGCTTTATACTGATGTGCTTCTCCATCAGCTTGCTGGACACACACTGCAGAATTAGCCACTTTTTTAAGTCCTATATAAAGCAACCAACATAATGTAAATTCAAGAATTGTAATATCATTGGTAGTCCAAGATACAAGCTCTAAATAAGTAAAATATATTTCGTCGTCACAGGTCACAGCAGCAGAAACGGAATGAAATTGAATAGCAGAGAGAGCGAGAGAGGGAGAGGGAACCATAGTACATAGTACATTCTTTGGCTTGCTCATTGTACCTTTTGGCACACCCAAAGCGGGATTTTGTGGGTGTGGAGTATCTTTTCCTTGCGAGCTCATTCGCGCTTACATCGCATTCGTTACCTAAACATTGACAGCAAAGCTACATTGCTGCGTTTCTCGGTCCGCCAGTGTGTTTAGATTCTGTTGACATTCTCAGAACACTTCAGCTGTCACTCTAAGATAAGAATTTTAACGCTTTCAGTGACTCCTTTTATTTCCATCGGCTCTATCATTATTTACTATTGACTGAAATACAGAGGTGTGTTCATCGAGTAATACACTGTGTCCAGGGTTACACCTGTTTCTATATATACTTGCAGCGACCGACCATACTGATGTCACACAACCAGGAAAGGCCTAATCCCCATCTAAACCCCAGGATACAGTGGGCGTAGACACACCCATGTCCTGGGCCCCTGATCTCGAAAGTTAAGGACTTGTATAGGATCGTACTCAGAACCGTGAGTAGTATTTTTACAAAAAAAAATGCATCAGATTTGTATACCTAATAGAAAAATATTGTCATTGGATATTTACAACATTGCACGATACAAAAGAAATAAGTTCTTACCGCAGTGACTGCTATGTACGTTTGATTTCTTAGACTTCTTGTGATAGAAAACAGGTGTTAAAAGTGTCTTTTTCCAGATTGTTTTGTTTTTTTCAACGTTTGTGCTTCGCCTTACTTTGTTGAATTTTTTGGTCAATCTTTTCTAGTGATTTATTTTTACTTCATTCCTTTACGTCTTCGCCAAAGTGTTGGCAATTTGAAAAAAGGGTTCACGATGCCTAATCGCCACTCTGTGCTGATGCTGGTCACTGCAAATCAGACCGTCAATATCTAAATCACCAAAGCACTCCCCCATCCACTTGTTGCTAAACGATCGTGTGAACATATTTATTATGTGTTACCTACTCTATCCTAGAGTATGGTTTAACCATTTTGAACAATTCTTGATAGTATTAATAAGGTTATTAATATGTTGCAGAATATCATTTCCAAAAAGGACAAACATTCTTTTCTGCCCGTGTTTTAGAACAACAAATGTCAATTTTGACGAGAGCTCAAAGAGTCCATCCAGATCGCTAACCGTCCGCATCCGATGGGATCCAAACTGGGAATGCGGCAGAAAACGGAATACAGTCGTCACAGCAGAGCCAGCATTGAAATCGGAACGAAATGGAATAACAGAGAGAGAATCCCAGAATGAATCGTAGTACGCACGGGAAAGAGACGGCAGTCCCATTCAACAGACAGAGAAACTACGGCGGCTCTCGGCAGCAGACGCCAGACACCAGGGAGGGGTCCCGAGGGAATGAATGCTACTGCCAACCTGTGGATTCCCCAAACGGGAGATGTATATATAAATCCAACGGCGGAAATGCGACTGCTGTTTCCACGATTTCCATTTGTATGCCGCCACCCCAACGCTCAACGCTCTTTTCGACTGTTATTTCCGCTTTAACGCCAACTGCTTTAACGTGGAGCAGATTTTGGTGGATCGTGGTGAATTGATCGGGTAAGTGACGTTCACTTTTTAGAACCTTATTGGATAATGAGACTAGTCTTAGAATTAGAGAACTTAGATGAGTTGTAGAATAAGACTGGGTACTTGTTGATAAAACTAACAAAACCAATTTTGGATAGCTTGGAAAACACCATAATACTTGTTTGAGAACCAAGACAAGCTAAGATATTTGGTGCCGTTCAGGGAGATGAATTCACAAAAACGAGGTAGAGGACAGATTTGGAAGTAATCTAACTTAAATATTTACATAAGTGTGTGGAAAGCACAGGGTTTCAATGCAGTGGTTTTTGAATTAGAATAGCATCTTTAGAAATAACGGCCAAACGCCAACACTTCTTTTGGGCCTAATTCTAAGAAGAACGTTTTTGTTAATACCTTTTTAGAAACGCCCTTAGAACACCATCGAATTGTCTTTTTCTCAGAACCCGCAATCGTGACTTTTGCTCCTAGGACCAGATGGTCTGAGTAAGCACTCTAAGCTTATTATGATCCAAAAAAACTTGCTAAAAGAAGGCGGCCTTCCAAACTAGCGTAACTGCAATTTAGATTCCTGCTAGCCACATACCAAAATGGAGGAGAATAGCATAACGTACGCCACTGTTATCGTACACGTGCAGGGATCTCAACGTGAACAAAGAAACACTATTCGTCACATTTGCCTCTTTCAGTTCAATATTTGACGATAGAAGACTAGTTCGACACTATGTATTTATCACTGTCACCAAACAATCAAACTACTGAACGTATCGCCTATTTTATTTAGCTGTTTACAGTTAAATCGTCCTGTCACTATACAAATTATTACCACAGTCCATAATGAAACAAGTTCACGTTCGCTAGGTGGTAATTTTAGATAATAACATCCAGAAACTATGACAACAGTTTTTCTAACTGCGTACTTTATACATATAGCTTCATTACATATATGGATTATATGTATTGAAAATAGCTAGCCTAGTCATAAACTGTATCCATCGTCACTATAAATAGGCGACATCATAATTTCTCACGCATTTACAGGTTCGTGGGCGTTAAACGTCATTCGCGACTAGTTTGTTTGCATCTTTTAGTACATAACCGACAGTTAAGACGGGTTTACACGGGTCAAGTAAACGGTCAAGTTGAGCAGTAAAGTCAAGTATTTTTTTCTACTTGCATTGTATGAACAATTTCGGTCAAGTAAAGTAGCGACTTGCGTCAAGTGACGAGGCAAGTCAAGTGGTTCTGCACGGTGAACAAGTAACTTCACTTGACTGCTACCCCCACTTCTACTTTATCATTGGATCGCCACCTTGACCGTCTACTTTACCAATGTAAACAGACAAAGCAACTAAGTAAACAAGTTCCTGCGCATGGAATGTGGATTTGTACTGTCTGGGGTTTTTCAGATTTCCTATACATTTTGATCACAGATAACCAAATAATTTTCGTGATTTTGGTATACTACGAATTGTGAATTGAGGTTTAATTTGTACAAGATGAAGTGGTCAGAAGAAGAAACCATGCGTTTCGTTGAACTCTATAGTGAAAAAGAGTGTTTATGGAAGAAGAGTAGTGTAAATTATCGCAATAAAAACATGCGAAAAGCAGCAGAAGAGGACATCGTGAACAGGATGGGAAAGGAAGGTTTTGGAGTGACAGAATTAAAGCAAAAAATAGATAATGAGAACAACTTATAATCAGGAAGCGCTGAAAGTTAAAAAGTCTAAGAAATCAGGAGGTAAGCCGGATGATATATACGTTCCAACTGTCAAGTGGTTCCGACAAATGGAAGAAATAATGGATAGCTCCACAGCTGAAAATGAAACGGAAAGCATAGTAAGTCAAAAGTGTATATTTTTTCTTTAATAACTGGTAATTAATTTATAAAATTGCGTTGCCAAGGCACTGCTCCTTCTTCCGAAATGAAATAATCCCTCATTTTGTTTCGCATGTGTTTTGCCATCTCCGACGCCCTCCTCTCAGTTCCCCCCTGTATGTTTCTCAGTTCTCGTATCGCTTGTCTCCACTGTCCAGGTATTATTTCGCCAATGTGTTGGTTTTCACAATCAACCAATTGTGCATTATTGAAGTATTGATCTGGTGACGTTTTTCGTAGCCAGTTGTGAATTGCAATGGCAGCACTAACTAGTTTATTCACAGAGGACACTTTTATCTTTACTTTTGTTTCAAAAACACGAAATCTACTTACTAAGATTCCAAAACCATTTAATTACCATATACCATATACCATATAATTTGTATGATTAATTAATCATTGAGCAAATGAGAAGTATTAAATTAGTATTTCATTCATTTCAGGAGACAGAAATCGCTCCACCTAGCGAAAATGAACAAGGTCTGCTAGAGGAACAAGTCATTGAAGAACCATCTCCAACTCTCTTGCAAACTCCTACAAGACCTTCGACCAGCAAAACATGCTCCCGAGTAGAATCGACCGGTAAGAAAGGTTCTCGAGTAGAAGCAGGATCAAAAAATAAAAAACCACGGCTACAAGCCTTAACTGAAGCTGTTGCAGAGGTCCGAAAAGCCCAGGAAACATTAATAACTTCTCAATCCATCAGTGACAATGAAGCTTTTGGCAAGTTTATTGCAGCCAGTTTAGATAAACTGCCCCCTGCTGATTCAATCATGGCGCAAGGTGCACTTCAAAGAGTGATACAAAAATATCGATTGAATGCGTTAAATAAGAGCAGTTCTGCTTCTGAGGCTTCCACATTAACTGCAATTCAATCACCAACCCTTTCTAGGGATTCACCTCCTGCAACTACTCCTGCATACAGCACTGATCATCCGATTATGAACGAGGACACAGTTGCAAATGATGATGCTGCTATCGCAGATATTATCTCGCAAGCATAAAACTTGACAAACTAAAATGTTACAATTGGATTTGTTTGTTTTTTATTAAGAAGCCTAAATGAAAATTTAAAAAAATAAAAATTTAAAAATGTTCTATTATTATCTATTCACATACCTTTACAAAATCCTTTAAGCAGTCGTACACAGCTTGACAAGCAATGGGAATCATGATAGATATCGCTGATTTAGAAACTCGGAAGAGATGAGAAAGGGTTCTATAATTATTACCAGTTGCTAGGTAATTTAAGGTTACTTCCAACATTGTTTCTGGTTTGATAGCGTCTCTCATAATAGTGTTCTCTCGTTGAATTAATGGAGTTATTAAGCCTAACAAATAGTCAAATTTTTCAGCAGTCATTCTGAGCATCATTCTGTATTCTTTAGGATCTTCAAACCTCAGCTCCCTTATTAAATTGGTGGAAGCCCCTTAACTTTCTCTACGTGTAAGCCATTCTCGACACCATATCCTTTTTTTAGGATTTCTTTCTTCCTCAAGAATTTCTTCCACTTCTTCCAGGAGAATATTTGTGAGATTAATAACGCAATTTCGTATGACAATACGACTTTCCTCCATGTTTTACCTGTCGACTTGCTCATCTACTGGAATACGTGTAAATGCTCTTTCTGGATGATGTGGTGAATCAAGTAAAGTAGAATGCAACCACGCAAGTGCGAAGGCAAGTAGCTTGACCGATTACTTGACCCGTGTAAACCCGTCTTTACTGCCACCATCAAGACCATGCTTTAGTTCATCGACGCAGCTCCTCTATTTCTGGCAAGAAGCAGGTTTTCTTGTAAAAATCAATATCAGGCACACAATCTTCACCTTCAGTAATCAGTTTACTATAAGATCGATAACGAGATGTGCCTACTGTTGAACTACATTATAAATAGTCGGTATATGAGAAGCGCATGCTAAACATGTTTAATGAAGACAATATGGGAACAGAAACCCTTAGTACAAATAACAAGCCCTAAAGAGAGGGAGAGAGTGACTTACTGTATTGAAGAAACCGTCATAATACGAATGTGGATATTAGCAAACCTTGGAGATTAATTGAAGTGGGTAGCATTTGGTGGCTTGTGGTTATTTAATATCTACAGGATAGAAACAAAAAAATGATAACATCTAAAGCAGAAAATACACCCGAAAGTAACATAAAAAGTTCCTATGAATATAGGTATATTTGAACTGAGTTTTAATGTAAATATGAATATTCTCCAAACAAAGTTACGATGGCGTGGTATTACGACTATAATAGTTCCAACATTCCTCCAATATTCAAACCAAGGTTTCTCCGATACAAAGATAAATACGATACATATGATGAACAGCAATTAGATACATACAAAAAATAGTACCATTGATTATACTACATAAAAATCCACCACAAAGTCCCAACACTCCACGCGGAAATTAATATGTTCCTAAAAATTACGACTACAAAGATGCATGCTAATAACTACAGCAAGGCTAACGTAAAGAAGCGTTCCATTGTACAGTTTTCAAGTGCGACAATATTCTTATTCTTACATATTATATGTTTACTCAAACCAAAGCCGAACACATTGCTGGCCTCTTTAAAGCATTTAGGTAGATCTTCCTCTGTATCTCACCACTGATTAACGTCCAAAAAAGTTATCTATTATCTTAAGGTTTGTGGCGCCATAAATAAACGGAAAAAACAAAATATGCCCCTGACGCCATGGTATCTCATTTCGTCTCATCTCAGATATAATTTTTGGACGCCGAAATACAGGTAGAATATCTCACTTTTCATTGTGTGTTCTATAAAATTGATCAAATAATCCACTATGCTCATATTTTGCAATCCTCGAAGTTCTTTGACCGCCAGCTTTTCGTTACAAATAACTCGATGAAAAACAATGCGAAACATTCAACAGACAGTTTTAGTTTATGACAGCCATAACATACTCCGATGATGCGCAGGAAGTAAAACAGAAACGCTTTTTTCGAACGACTTTGTAAATGGCGTCGTCCACTCTGTCCGGTGGGCAATTAATTCTAGAAGGAGAAGAGATAACCTTTCCTACACAATGTTAATGGATGTGCATGCAGCTTTTAATAAAGAAGGACAGGGTATAGCCAACGAGGAACGAGCAACGAACGGCTGCGCCAGAACCAATCTCCAAGCACAATGAAATGCAACAAAAGCCCGCTTTAACTGCTCTTAGATTTATAATAAGTTGTATACGAAAATACAGCGTAGATGGACGCATCATATACATGTTCCACCCTGGATGAGATTGAAGTGGAGGTCAAACAACTGCGTACTATATAGACTTGAGCTTACTATATGAAGAAAGGACAGCTTGTAAATACTCGAAGCATGGAAAAATTGCAATATCCAGGAAAATGGAGAAGAGAAGACTTTTTAATAGCAGCTTCCTAATAATGAATGTGAATTGCAACGACCCTTCCAAAAAGAATAAGAAATTAATTTTACGTAACTCCGTATAACTACAAAATCAGAATGCAAAGGATTCAAAAACATACTTACGTTCACTTTAATTAGAAGCCTAACGTCATATGAATTATGCTATGATGCAAAAGAAATCCATTAAAGCAATTGTATTCAAGATATACAGTTATCCTACTTAACACAAAACCCATCCAAAAAGCTTCTACGTTAATTTATTTATGATACAAAAAGCAAACGCAATATGTGAATTATGGCTAACTTCGCGCTGCTACAGGTATGTCTGCCAAGCCGTAGTAAAACATGCGCCGCACGCCTATGGCCTGTCTGCACCTTCACCGCCAAGGCCAGCCAAGTTACTGGCAGCTTCAGATGGTAGAGCGTTCACGGCCCGGGAAACGGGAATCGAAATTCGAGACGTGTAGCCGCGAATTGGATTGATTAGAACTTCCGCGTTATGATTTATCTGATAAGTGTAACCGAGATCTCTGAGGATGCAACATACACCCTCCACAACCCCCAATCTTCAACCCTAAAATTTTTTCTGAGCCAAACGTCAAAAAATGAAGTTTGGGCGGTTTTCATTCACCACTTTATTACCCGTAGCTACGCCACCATCATTCCAAGTTACAACGGGGCCAAATATAAGCGGACAGAGAGACAAATAGACACACAAGCCGAAAGAAATGATTGATATAGTTTTTCGTGATGTATATGTCTTGTAACATACAAAATCTCGATCACTGAGCGATTACAATAATTCCTTTTCAATTATTGTGAATGTTAAGGATGTCTGCTGAAACAAATGTCAGACTGGTGAAGAGACAAAAAGGTGTCTCGTAATAATTCATTTCACATTCTCAGCAGTCTTGGAACTACGGAGCACTGGCATGAAGACTTTTCTGGATGTATACAGAATTTTATACTTGCAAAAGCTGTAAGCTTTAGACATGTGAATATATAATATAATCTGGATAGAAATTGGGAGGTACCTAACATAGAATACGACCCTGAAGTTTTATTCGATGTAGAAGGAAGAAATTTAAAACTATTTAGAATACACAAGGTACAATAAGAATCGTCCTCAATCAAAAAGTATACTGAGTGATAAAAGAAGGTAAACACCTTCATATGTTTGTTAGAATTCAATAATTTGTCGATTTGTCTTACCATGAACAACAAGTGATGAAGAGGTCAGGTCTTTCTGGGTTCTGGTGGTGGCTGCGTGTATTGTTTGTGTTGTTTGGTGATAAAGAAGCATTTAGTTTTCGTACATTTACGGTGTCAGTTAAATGTTAGATTTCGTGTAGCATAATATACAGGGTGACTTTGAAGTTGAGTCATTAATTTTCAGATAATGATTGTAGAAGGAAGATAAACCAAAATATGTGTGTAAAAATAAAAAAAAATTTTACCTTGTTTTATAAAGTATCCTCCCGACAAGTATTTCAGTGCGGACCTGTATTTGATCGTGAGGTCTTGGAGCACCGGCATGCCGTCCCCTGTGAGGTCTTAAGTCACCTGATTCACGAGCCCGTTGTACTACATTAACAAAGGCACGAGGGGTTGGTTGCACTCGATTGGGAAACCGATCCGCATAAACATGTGCCATTTTTTATTTCGTTTGAGCCACGCAACAGACACTACTATTCACTGACACTGACTGTATACAAATGAATGAAATAATTGTAAAAACATCGTTCCAAATTCTTTCGCTTTTTTGTTTCCGATGCGATGAACCGATAAGGCGGATTATATCCGTTGTTGCGAAACACGAGCACATAATATTATTATTGAGACAGGACGGCACTCAAACTTCCAAAGGGCTATAACTTTGTTACTTTAATTTTACCAGAAAAATGGTAAAGGAAAAAAACATTTCTTTTGATCAGATCTACTCACTGTTAAAATAAATGACTCAACTTCGAAGTCACCCTGTATATATTGCAGATTACCGACGCTATATTCAGGAAGTAGTGGAGCCTCATTTTATTCCACACCAGAGCCAGAGCGTTGTTAGCCTTCATGGGTCAACATCGCAACAAACGTTTACCTTGGCCACCACGATCGCCTGCCCTATCTCCAATTGAACATGTCTCCTCAGACTTTAGCAGCTCTTACTCACGAAGTTGCAGTAGCCTGGAATGAGATATCCCAACAGGATGTCGACCACCTCACCAGCACGATTCCCAGGCGTGTCAATGAGTGTATAAGAAATCGTCGATCCTCAACACACTATTGAATCAGCTTCTACAGTCAGTTGACGAATCAAGCTGAAAATTTAATCATTTTGCTTGTACCTAAGGGGCACTGAACATATATGCCAAAAATTATTAAAATCGGATAAAGGATAGGTGTTTACCTTTTATTGTCACTCAGTATAATTCTAGAGCTATAGGAGTGGGTTCTATGAGTTGGACCTCCAGTGAACTGTTTTGAATGTAAACGGAGTAGTCCAAGCAAGTGACTTCCAAACATGAGCATGGAAACCGTTTCTCAGGTCAAATTTTATTTAGCCTTTACTCAATACAATGTGTCTGGTACGAGTAGGAATAAACTAGCTTTTGAACAACGGCTTCCATATACAAACGAGTTCGTCTCAAGGCATGTCTTGAGTAATGTTAACTGATACAAGTCTAAATGATAAAGGTGGTTCGTTGAAAGAAATAGCTAAAACTCTTTTTTTTAAGATCATTCACGCCGACGATGTATCTTTTCTCACCCTCAAAGGATTTCTAGTAGAGGAGCTTTCTAGTCTCATAGTGAATGACCTCTGAATTGAAAGCGTGCCCTAAATAATCGTGTATCCTGTATGAATACAGGAACGCTTTCTTGTTTTTCCTCCTGTGCAACTTCTCCGTCTTCTTTTTATACCTATGCTCTGTGCATAGTTTCCAATAGATGTTGGCGCATTAATATTTTACTCGTCCTGTTATTACAAATACCTCGGCTTGTTTGTTTTATCGATTACAGCTACAATTTCGTATCTACCGAAGAGCATTTCCAGGCTTGATTTAA